GATGGCAATGATTGTATCAACTATAAGGAGCTCGGTGAGATGGTGCTCAAGGGCTGAGGACATTCCCACATCTTGAGCCTGTGCGTTGCCTAGTGTGAGATCTGTATGTGGCCCCAGAGGCTTCCTAGGCTCCCTTCCCACAGCATCTTGCACATATGGTCTCTTTTAGATGATGCCTGCCTTCCTCAAATAGATTTGCTCTCTTCTCCCACGCCCCAAAACCAAAAGCAAAGCCCCAGTACACATATATTCAAAATCAAATTGTGTTCTTTTTCTTCCTGGAAGCACAGCTAGATTCTCCCTTCAGAATCCATTATAGTTGGTGGTTCCATGAAGATGGATCCGCTGATGTAGGTAGAAGTGGTATGTGCAGTATTCTTAGGTCAGGCACATAAAAACTTCATATATGGTGTTTTGTTTGTCATGTTTACCCTATTCAGGTCCTCAACGGACAGAACCTGGAGATCTTAGAGAACAGAAGAACTACTTAATTCCCTTGTACCCTGTGTCAATTAGACCTCTGTGTAAGTAAGAAGTAAACAGAGAATATGTCAAACACTACACTTCTGCATTATCTTTCTCAGATAAATAAGTTGCTCTGACTCACACAGAATTTTGTATAAGGAATGGGAGAGCCTCTCCCCTGCAATATGATCTGAAAAGAGATCATTGGCTTGGTGGCATCAGAATGATGGAAAGCAAGGAGTTCCTGCTCTTTAGTGACTGGCAACTCAGAAGGTAGACTCTGTTACAAATGAGATCTAGGAAACGGGTGGGAAAACATCACCAGTATAACTGGTTATTAATGGATGCCTTTGGTAAGTCACTGGAGGAAGGAGATGGGTAAGAGTTGGCTAGCTCTTCTTTTCCTGGCTATTGTTTCAGTGCTGGGGCCTTGAATATGGTAGGCAAGCACTCCACCCACCATCGACCTATATTCCAGCTCATATCTGGCTGGTTTGAAAGCAAAAATGAAAAGAGAGCAGGATAGTCGTAATTTGTCAAAGATGTACGTATGCATATGTCTAGAGTTTTTCTGAGACAGGGCCATACTCTTGAGCCTAGAATGGCCTTAAACTGTGGCAATCTTCCTCATTCTCCAGTGCTGGGACTGTAGGCATAAGCCACCACATCTGGCTTATCACAGCTATCTTGAAAATATTTAAGCTCTTTCAAACAAGATTTTTGAATGGAAAATCCAGAGAGAGAGAGAGAGAGAGAGAGAGAGAGAAAGAGAGAGAGCGAGACAGAGACAGAGAGAGACAGAGACAGAGAGAATTTAGATCATATACAATCCTCTAAATGAAAGACAACTGTTGCTAACATTTTGTGGATACATTTACCCAGGAATTTGTACATTATTCACTCATGGGCAACATAAACAAACAAACAAACAAAAAAATCACACAGTGCAAAGAGATTTGAAGCACCCACCCCAGTTTGTATAGTGAGCAAGTTGACATTCTCTTAAGCAGTAAATCTACATACGCATTCTATGGATTTATTTTGCTTATTGATTGTAACTTGATTAGCTCATAATTGACAACTTATTATGAGTTGTTATAAACAGATATTGTTAGAGTCAAACGTTTCATTTTTAGAACAGGAGTTTCTGAGTCAAATGAGGTACAGATTTTTACAATCCTCCTGAAAAGCATGTTCTTGTTTTCTGATAGCAGTATATGAGAATTCATGTTACATTAAGCTGACTTCTCTGCTTTTAGCCTTGCCCCCTAACATCTGTTTGCAGAATTTATCAGTTTTCCAGAGTATTACCATAAAAATTCGGACATCATTTTGCCGAGTAAAATCCCTTCCAATGTCTCTGTGTCTTCGCCACTACTCCTGCCTTGTTCACTGCAGTTCAGACACACAAGGTTACTGTCATTGTCTTGAAGAAATCAGACTTATTTTTCAGGTTCTCTGTCTTCAGCTGTTCTCTGCCTTTCTTCCTACATACTCATTTCACTTTCTCCTCTCTTGTATCAATGCTGCTCCAAGGCGTAGCTCCCTGGCAGATCTAAAGGATGGTTTTTATTTTCTTTCTCTATTAGACGACTCCTTCCTGTTCTGAAGAGATTTGTCAATAGACAATCTTATCTTTAATTACTTATTCACTGACCAAGTACCTCTTCCACTCTGAAACCAGATGGTGTTTGCTTACAGCTTCCACTCATTATCAGACAAATTAGAAGACCTCATGGATGGTGAGTGGCCTGTCAAGAATTAGGGAAGGTCAGAAGGGAAGAAGGAAGAACCCCAAGGTTTTGTGTAGGAACCTCTATCCCCAAATGACAAACAATAAAACAAGAACAACAGAAAATAAGGAAATGACCCCAGCAAATGACTCTAAAGAGGAAGCTCGCATTCCAGATTGGCTCAGAACAGTGAGGGTTACCTGAGTTCTTTCATGTCTGCCAATGGAACCTCTTTGTCTGTGTTGTCTGTACAGCTCCAGGAGGCAGGCTGGGTGGATCTGAGAGGCAGGTCACGTCCCCAAGGCAGAAGCTTCCAGTACTTGATCTAGCAGCATGGATGAGAAGATGACTTCCTGGAAGCTGCTTAGCCTTGGACATATACAGGTCGGGGAGAAAGCCCCCTTAGAAAGGAATTGTAGTATTTTCGGTGTGTCAGGCTGGGCTTTACTTAAACATCTTTATGGGTATGAACTTAAAACAAGGCCTGTAAAGTCTACACTGTCATTGTAAATAATGAGGGACGGAGAAACAGACACACCAGGAACGTGACCTAGCTTGCCATTGCTATGAGGATTGTAACAGTTACAATGATTTACAGAGCTGGACTTAAATTTAACTCCGGAGCCTGCATTTTGAACTCTCACTGTAAATAAGGTTAGGGACATTGAGACCAGAATACAGCTAGCTGAGATAGGATTGGAAGAGACAAGTAATGTTTAAAAATGCTTCTGGGGGTGGATTGCCATCAAGCCTGACTACCAGGATTCACTCTCCAGAACCCTAAAAGGGAATAATCAACTCCTATAAATTGTCCTCAGTCTGAACACACACACACACACACACACACACACACACACACACACACACATGCACACCCCCACACACACACATGCACACCCACACGCACAGACACACAAACTTAAAAAATTGTTTTAAAAAAGTTGTAAGTTAAAAAAAATGTTGCTGGGCTGGAGAGATGGCTCAGGGGTTAAGAGCACTGTCTGCTCTTCCAAAGGTCATGAGTTCAATTCCCAGCGACCACATGGTGGCTCACAACCATCTATAATGTGAACTGATTCCCTCTTCTGGCAGATGTAAATGTGGATAGAACACTCATATACATAAAATAAACAAATCTTTTAAAAAATTTTGCCTTAGATTACAAATGTCTTACTAAAATGACAAATACTAAGGGCTCTTTCCTCTCAATTTATAAAATATTTTATTGTTATGGTTACATCCCAAAGGTATCCAGTGTTGCTTGAAAGGGAAATCTGGGTCTAATTTTTGTTACCCTTTATGTCTGGAGGATGTGTCATTTTTGCACTACTAACTTACATGTGGCATGGCCATAGGGAAATCATGCATTCTGTGTATCTTCCTTTCCATAGCCATAGCACTAACTGTCTACTCAAACTCTGCAGCTACCATCTATGTGACTTTGGACAAGGCCTGTAGTCCTCCACCAGGTCTGAATCCTAATCTTTAATATGGGCAAAATACTGACCACACAAGGCTTTAGTATGACATTAGTATGACAAAATAAATAAAATAAATCAAGTGTTTGTCATTTATTACATGCTTGACAAACGTTTGTCTCACTGTTACACTGTATAAAATTCAACTCTCTTAAGTGATACTATCCATCACTAGATTTATTAACATACTTGAACTGGTTTCCAGGAAGCTACTCATCTTAGCAATGTCTGGGGACTCCCTGCTCACGGTACTTTAAGACAATTACCTTTCCGATGGAACAGTGTGAGTTGTAAACATCTCTGGATTATAGTAAAGCTTGTTAAATACTAAATGTTTTAAGTGAGAGACAGCTAAGACCCTCTGCTTCCAAACGCCAGGGCGCAAACAGAAAGGAATTTGAGGTTGACCTTGAATGTGCTACTGGGCAGTGTTTCTTGGAATAGCTTACAGTTTGGACAGTGTCTTTCTCTTTTGTGGTGTGTCGCAGCACTTTCCAATACTGTTAACTTTAACATTGTAAATCAGGTTGCAACTGTCTTTCCTGTTTAATCGTTATGGCTCCTTTGCTTGACAAGCCTCATTCTTACATGGACTTTCTAGCATTGGATTGAAATTACGGCTGAAGGAATTTGGGGGAATCGGATTTATTCCCATGGTAAATGTGTGGGTATAGACATAGGTTGCTTTAAAGGTAAGAAACAAAAGCTGCCTTATAAAACATAGCTGACCCACTCAAATAGGAATTTCAGATTAAAAAATAATGAACTTTTAGTTTAAGCATATGCCACACAGCATTTTGGACATATTTAAAACATTATTTGTCATTCCCCTAAAATTCCACATTGTGCTTTGCCTTTTTATGAGCTGGATCTTGGATCGCGTTTGTTGTTTGCCAGTGGGGGAATATCTAGTATCTTTTTAGGATAAAGAATCTAACTTTAATTTGCCCTTGAGGTCAAAATCCTTTAGTAGGAGACGGTCAGATCTTTGGGGAAAAGGCCCCAGTCGCACTCAAATATAGGTTGTGACACCCTTACTTGATGGTTTTCTGCAGTGAAGAAAGTTCATGAGAGAGGTCTCTGAGTACAGCCGCAACAGAGCTGAGGTCTGTACATCTTCCTCCAAAAAGCAAGTGGACAAGTAAGAGACTTCCCCGCAAGGGAAAAAGATTTGTTCTCCCTTATCCACAAAGGAATAGAAAAAGAAAACCCTAAAAACCCCAAACCACCACTACCAAAACAAGACTGAGGTTTCGCGCACGCGCAGAAGGACTTTGAGCCTGCCCGCCTTCCCCGCCCTCCGGAAAGTCACGTGGGTGAGTCCCGGTGTAGACCCAGGCCTATCACGTGACGGGCATCTGCGCGTCTCCGGGATGGAGCCGGAAGAGGGGACGCCGCTTTGGCGGCTGCAGAAACTGCCTCCGGAGCAGGGCGCCCGGGTGAGGGGTTGCGGCGTGGGAAGGGAAGGCGGGGTCCGGGCGATCCTTCCCAGGCTCCTGGGGGCAGCACGGCGGCTGGAGGACTTTGCGCGGGCCTGGGTGTGTGTGCGCGTGTCGGGGGCCTCTCCTAGCATTTAGAAAGCTCCGCTGTAGGTCGTTTATGTTGTTTGAGCTCAGACCTCCCGAAAGTCCCCTGAGTACCGCTGAGGTACAGCGGATGCGGTGAGGACTCGAACCCCGGGCGGACCTGTCTCCGGGAGGATGGTAGGCGCCAGCCCCCAACTAGAAAAGGACTGGTCACTAGCTTAAGTGTGGCCGGTACTGCAGCCGCCGGAAACAACTCACCCACAAAGCCAGGCTTGCGGGGGCCAGGGACAGCCAGCCGGGCTTTCTCTGCAGCACACCCTCGGGTCCAGGCCCCTGTGAAAGTGATTTGATGGTGGCACTTTTCCCTGCCCGAGCTTTCATGAATCTCCACTGTGGCCCTCCATCCCGACGTGGGCTCCTTCCGTTGTCTAGAAAAATGCATTTTCTTTGATTTTACAAATGAGGACAGTGAAATGTCAGCCACAGGTTTGAGTAATTTGCAAGAGGTTCCCACCTAGCCAGGGCCAAAGCTGAAATCCACGCTCCAATCTACGAACTTTCACAGCGGCTTTCCTCCTTTACAGAGATGGCCAAAACTTTACCACAGTAAATGTTCGTGACTCTTCTTCCCTGGCCTCTGCCTTCCTGCCACAGCTGTGGAGAATCCCTTTATTGGGGCTCAGCATCTCTTTTCCCGAGTCGGCCCCTCCCTAGCCTGGTTTTGTTTTGGCGGAGCTACCCTTCTTACCCCATCATTGGATCTAAAAAAAACCAGGGTTTCATCCTTGGACACCCCCCCCCCCTTTGTAACCTCATTTACCGTCTCTGCCTCTGTTGTACCCCGTAATCTCTTAGTCTCACACTTTCTCCTCCTCTCCCAATATCTTGGCAAAGTTTGTGAAAAAATAATTACCTGAATGAAAGTTGAGTACAGATTAAAGCTTTCTGTCTTTCTGTTGTGTGCAAGGCCCTCCACGATTTGGCCCCTACTCACCGTTTCAAAAGCCCTTTGCCCTTTCACCCTTCCCTCCCTCTCAATAGCTACAGTTTCCAAACCTGCAGGTTGGTTTTCCTTCCAATGGCTGTGGCTGGGGATGCCTGCCAGCTACTCATCCTTATAATGCAGCCCCTACCTTGCTCCTTTGCATCTGCTAGGAACATCTTTAAATCCGCCCTCCTGTATCACATCCATTTATGTATGTACCTTTTTGGTTACTTATTCCCAATTTCCTGTTTTGTAAAATGAGACCCTTCAACGCTTACCTCATAGAGTTGTAGGGAGTATCAGGATAGTGCTGGGTACCTAGGTAGGGGCTCATTGAAAATGGTAGCCATTACAGGTGGTCTGGTGTTGCATTTCCATTTTATAATAATAAACGCAACAAACTATACATAGTTGTGAATGAACAAAAGGCAGCATTTTTATTCTTTTTCTCGGTTTGAGTTCTTGGAGTTATGTAATCACCGGGACCATATGAGAGAAGACGAAATACGTGTAAAAAGTTGGGATGTATTTATGGCACATACTCATACTGCCTTATTGCGCCAGGGTGTGGAGGTGAATAAGAAGTTACTCATCTGTGTGGTGTTAGTGGGTGAGAGTTACCGTTTGCCTCAGAGTGGATTAAGAGCTAAGAAAATCAGAGTAGGAGGACTTGTCGCTAAATGCCATTTCCCAGTTATTTGTATTTAAACGCTTCCTTTGCAGAGTACAAATGCTGCCTGAACAGTATCACATGAATATGATTATCCGCAGTAGAAGGCTCGAATTGTGGAAGTAGTGATAAGAGCTGTAAGAACAGGCAGAAGCATGGTCTTCAAATGTTTCATACCTACCCAGCATGGTCCAGTTACTGTGCTTGTGTGTAATTCGTACAACACTGTGTGGACAGATGGCATTTTCCTCTTATGCTTGGACTGCAGAGACTGTAAATAAAACTAGGAGTTAGTGGAACTGGGAGGCATAGCATCCAGCTCTGTCCCAAATCCAGGCTTCACGGTTTGTTAGTTGACAGGATTTCTGGGGCTGCTAGCACAGAGTGAAGGATGTGTAGAAGAGGAAAAGATGACCAGGGCTTTCTCAAGGGTGGATAGGAATGCTGTGAGAGGGGAGCCAGACCAAGAGAAGTCAGGAGAGCTCCAGGGAGAGGCTTTGCTGTGGAATGCACAAGCTGTTTGGTTGTTATTGAAATGACCCCTTTCTGGGGTCACCTGGGGGAAAGCTTTTAAACTTACTTTTTTCCATTCAGGAAGTTTGGAAAAAACAACAGTGTATCTTTAACATTATTTTACTTTCTAAAGGTAGACATTGTTTTGGAAAGCCTGGGATTTAGCTGGGTTTGGGAGCTCCCATCTGGAACCCCAGCATCTGGGACATTAGGGCAGGAGGATTGCCACCAGTTTGAGGCCAGCCTGCACTACAGAAGTGAGACCCTGTCACAAACAAACAAACAAACAAACAGAAACAAGACAATAAAACAATAAAATGAACGACAATACATCTTAAAATAGTTGCCTTTCTGTCTTAGCTGGTTTTATAAAAGGGATCTCTGCCAACATTTGTGTCCTGCACAAAGAGTTTTCATTTATTTTTTTAATTTATTTATTTTTTTATTAGTTACATTTTATTAACTCTGTATCCCAGCTGTATTCCGCTCCCTCATTCTCTGCCAAGTCCTCCCTTCCTCCCTCATCTCCTCCCTGCCCCCTTCCAAGTCCAGTGATTGGGGAGGACCACCTCCCCTTTCATCTGACCCTGTTTTATCAGGTATCTTCAGGGCTGGCTGCAAAGTCCTCCTCTGTAGCCTAGCAGGACTGCTCCTCCCTTGGGAGGTGGGGAGGTCAAAGAGCCTGCCATTGAGTTCCTGTCAGAAATAGTCCCTGTTCCCCTTACTATGGGAAACCAGTTGGTTACTGAGCTACCATGGGCTTCATCCGAGCAGAGGTTCTAGGTTATATCCATACATAGTCCTTAGTTCAAGATCCAGCTATACCACTCCTAGGCGTATACCCAAAATTTGCTCAAGTACACAATAAGGACATTTGCTCAACCATGTTTTTAGCAGCTTTATTTGTAATAGCCAGAACCTGGAAACAACCCAGATGTCCCTCAGCGGAGGAATGGATACAGAAATTGTGGTATTTTTACACAATGGAATACTACTCAGCAATCAAAAAGGAGGAAATCATGAAATTTGCAGACAAATGGTGGGATCTAGAAAAGATCATTCTGAGTGAGGTATCCCAGAAGGAGAAAGACACACATGGTATATACTCACTCATATAGTCCTATAAGATATGATAAACATAATGAAATCTATACACCTAAAGAAGATAAACAAAGAAGATCCAGGGTAAGAAGATCAATCCTCACTTAGAAAGACAAATGGGAGGTCCATTGGATGTAGGAGAAAACAAATAACAGGACAGGAGCCTACCGCAGAGGGCCCCTGAAAGACTCCTACTAGCAGTGTATCAAAGCAGATACTAAGACTCATAACCAAACCTTCGGCAGAGTGCAGGGAATCATATGAAAGAAGGAGGAGTTTGTATGACGTGAAAAGGATAGGAGCTCCACAAGGACCAATTACATCTGGGCACAGGGGTCTTTTTTGAGGCCCGTGGTAGTTCATTTATTTTAAAGTACTTTTATTTCCCCTTCCTAGCTTCTTCACAAAGTAATCGATGGCATCTGTGGCCGAGCTTATCCTGTCCACCAGGATTATCATGGTGTTTGGAACGAAGCCGAGTGGAAGCATGTTCTAGAAGATGTTACCATGTTTTTCAAAGCTGTAGTTGGCAAAAATTTTTCCGATGAAGAGGTAACTTCACTCCTAATCTCTTTACCTGATAGTAAACACCATCCAGAGTTTCTGACGTCATTTCTAGGGTTCAACTCCTGTGCTCAGTCAGTACTGAGTACTTGATACAACAACTGAAAGGTCTAATTATGAGTGAGCAGAAGATGGCATTGGAGTTTCGGGCTTTGCATCTTTTTTTAGTTGTTTTTCCTCTTCACTGTAACACATGTAAAGCTTGCAGAGGAAAGCGGGATTCTAAAGATCAGGCCTGTGTGTGTTTTGGTTGCAGTTCACATTGGATCTCATGGGGTGTTTGATTTTTACAACTTTGTCAGTTATTTGCACATATTTATATGAGATGTTTAACAAATGTTTGTCTACGTATTTGTTATGTTGATTTAGAAGATACTCTGGATCTGCATTTCTTTGCCTATATATACATGTAATCTGTTACGTCCTTTGCTTCTTCATTCTCTTAATGGGGCTTTTGATGGACTGAAGTTTTTTTTAAAATTATTTATTTATTATTTTAGGTGCATTTAGTGTGAAGGTGTCAGATCCCTTGAAATTCACATTATAGACAGTTGTGAGCTGCCATGTGGGTGCTGGGAATTGATCCCTGGTCCTTTGCAAGAGCAGACAGTGCTCTTAGCCACTGAGCCATCTCTCCAGCCCCGAACAGAAGTTTTGAGGCAAATGAGATCCAGTATTTGTTTCAGGGGTTAGTGTTGTCAGTGCCGTATTTAAGAAATATGAAGGTATCTGTGCATTTTCCTGCAGAGGCTTGGTTGCTCTAGCTTCTGTATTCTTCTCTCAGATGGGTTTAGAGTTAATATTCTTGTGTGGGACAGGGCCTGTCTCAGTTTCTCCCGCACAGCATCCCGTTGACTCGCTGCCATCTATTGGAATGACTGTCATTCCCTCCCAAGGCTACTAGGCAGCATTGGTAATAAATCAGGTGGTCATTTGTAGGGCCTGTCTCTGGACTCTTAGTGGATTCCATTAGTCTCTGCGCCTGTTTTTGGCATTCTATACTGTTTTAATTACCACTTCATTAAAGATATAACAAGTTAATTCTTGATATCAGTTGGTAGAGGACCTTCAACCTCATGTTTTTTCAAGGTTGCTTTGACTTTCTTTGGTCCTTTCCATCTTCATATATGTTTAAAATTCAGCTTGCCAAATGTAAAAGCCAGTTTGGACTTCAGTGCGGATTGCACTGAATTTCCAAGTTATTTGGGAAGAATTGGCAGTAATAGTTAGCTTCCTAGCCTATGAACATGGGCTATATCTCTTTATTTAGTTTGGCTTCCATTTCTCTCTAATGTTTTATAATTTTTAATGTAGAAGTCTTGCAAATATTTGGTTAGATTTCTAAAACATGGTATTTTTCTTAGTACTCTTTATTTTACAGTTGTTTATTGTTAGGATATAGAAATGGTTAACTTTTATATCCTTCCCTGTGTCTAAGACTTTTCTTAGTTTATTATATATATGCACATATATATATTAATATATATTAAGCAGTAGAAGACCTATCCTCTCCACATAGCTGAGGGAGAAAATTACTCTTTTCTATTCTAGTCATTAGCTGCATGATTTTATAGGTATTAATGAGTAAAGAAGTTTCTGCATTTCCAATTTTGCTGACTTTTTAAAAGTCATCAGTGGCTATTTTACCAGCATTTTCTGATAATTATTTTCATTTATTTTGTTAATGTGGTGATTATTTTTGGATGTTAAACTAAGCTTGCATTGCCATGATAAACCTAGCTTGGTCATGATGTATTATTTATATGCACATTGGTTGGATGACTTAGAATTTTGCTTAGAGTTTTTCGATCTTTGTTTGAGTGACACTGGCAGTGAATTCTTTCCTATGATGCCCTTGTCAAGGGCTCAGGTTTTATTCTGGGTTTGTGGAATGACTCTGGGAAGGTTTTTGTTTTTTCTCTTTTCCTGTTCTTTGGAAGAGTTTGAACACAGTTGATTTACTTTGTTTAATTGGTATTAAGTTACTTAATTTATAAATTGGGAAAAATTTATCTCATTAGCTTTTACTTAATTGCACAGTTGTCAGTAATACAAGCTGTCAATTCAGTGTTTTGTGTTTGAGTGGCTGTGTGTGGTTTACCATACATGCTGGAAACTGCTGTGTGTTTGGCAGTTGTTGGGTGTGGTGTTGTATATGTGATGCCATTTGATTTGGTGGAAGTTAATATTTTCATGTTCTGAAACTTCACCAATGCTTTCTGTGAGTTTCTGGCAATAGCTAGAATTGTGATAATATCTCTGTCAGTACATACTTATCCGTTTCTCTCATTTTTGGAACTGTAGAATTCTGCTGTGTTGTGTATTTTGGAGCTGTGCAGTTAGGCACACCCAGGTTTAGGACTTGGAGCGTTTTTCTTGACTTCCTCCTGTTTCTTGTAGAACTCTTGTCTGTGAGGACTGTGCTGCTCTGTTGTGGTGATCTCCAGCTTTGTCAGTTAGTCCCTTTCTTTACCTTCTGGCTTGAAGGGACTTGTTAAGCCTGTCCGGGTTACTCATTCTCAGCTTATGCTTTTCATAGTTCTGAATATTTCTTTTCATTGTACTGTCATTTTAGGTGTGTAGCAAGGGGATGGGCACGCTTTTACATTTGAAGCAGCAGGAGCCTTTCACCCACCTTCCTGCCGTTTGTGTTTGATTCCACAGACACTCCAGCAGTTGAACCAGCTGAACTCATCTCATCAAGAAGCTGTTATGAAATGCTTGAAGAGTAGGAAAAATGAGATCAAGCAGGCCCTGTTAGGAGAAATAGTTGAGATCTCTTGTGCGCAGCTGCAGGATTTTGATTGGCAGTTAAAGGTGAGAATTGAGGTTTTAATATGTTTTGTGTAATGTTTAAGTATACTTATTCTTTTAAAGTAAAAATGTCTAAAATTTGTCATTTTGAGACTATGTTGTTCCAAGGTACTAGCAGAGCTCATGTAAATTACTGGTTTTGTGTGTTCACTTGGACATAAAGGCACTGTAAGCAGCCAGACCATGCGTAGTGGCTCTGCACTAAAAATGAATATTCCTAGACCTATCAGTCAGAAATGGAAAAGTGTGTATTTAGGATTTAACCTTGGCAAAAGTCTTCTAGATGCCATAGCTTTCTCAAAATTGGTAAATATGATTTTACTTCTGGGAGGAAAGTATGTTAAAAAGCAACAGTTTAAAACATTGTGAAAAGAGGGCCATGCTGAGTAGAGCTAGGAAAGAACAATCCCAGAACAGCTTTTTGTTTTTGTTTTTTGAGACAGGGTTTCTCTGTGTAGCCCTGGCTGTACTGAAACTCACTGTGTAGACCAGGCTGGCCTTGAGGCCACAGGGATCTGCCTGCCTCTCCCTCCCGAGTGCTGAGATTAAAAGGTGTGCACCACTGCCGGCTGCAGCTTTCTGTTCTTAGGAACCAAAGTAGTAGATAGAAAACACACATTCTGTTTCTTGATTTTAGCACGATCTTAGAACCAGGAAGTATCTCATGTCCTTTTGGTAGTTTAAGAAGACAAAATGGGACAGTTAAATAAGCTCACAGCTGGATAGACAACTCCTGTGGACAGTTTTCTTAGCTGAGGAAAAGGGTGCTGTGGTTCTGGTTGTGGCTCAGCTGTGTTTGAGGTGTTTTTATTAACATGCTTATTATTTTGACGCAAAACTATAACTATAGTAAGTATGCAATACAACCGAAGTTTGACATCATTTTATTCTAGTTATACTGATGGACTAAATGATAAAAAGCAAATTAATCAGTGACAAAAGGTTTTCGTGTAAATGAACATTTAGCATTTAAGTAAGTATGGATGCCAAGGGAGAGGCACCAGTAGTAGCATGCATGAAGGATGTGTAGTTGTTTTAGTTATCAAAGTGCGCTGGAATGCTCCAAATGCCAGGCTCCAGTCTCACATTTTTGTTGTGAGATGTGTAGTGCTTTCAGTCAGGGAAGGGTCCCGTGGATGCTATTTTCAACTATGCAATCTTTTGTGTTAATTTAATATTCCCTTTAGTTTTGGGTACCAGACTTGAATATTTAAACAAACAGGACTCCTGCCAGCAATGGTTTGTGAAGGTTCTCTGAAGCACTGGAGACCATGTACTTGGAAAAGAAAAGCCAGATGCAGATGCTGTTCAGAGAGCCAGACGTCCCTGGGGTGGTATCACTATTATTGTCATCCACAGTTTTGATAGCCAGTCTTGAACTAAGTTGCTTAATTTCCAAAAGCCTCAGGGTATTTTTAGTCTGCTTGATACATGAACTGTCATCTTGGAATCTGTTCTTTAATAATTCTGGTTTTGCTGTATAGGGTACCTTCAGCACTTCTGAGTTTCTATAATAAGACTTGGTTTTGGCCCCGAAAAAAGAGTGTTTTAACTAGACAAACAGATCCAGATACTGGCTTTTGGACAAACTGGTGTTTCTTTTCTTCCAGTCCTCTTCCTGTATTTGTTCTGTCTCCTTTCCTTTCACCTCCTGTCTTTGAATGTGTGTTGCCTTGCCACTGGTTTAATTTGTTTCTTCGGTTTCCCAGCATTTGCAAGCAGACAGGTGGTGGGCTCTTACCCAGTCCTGATGCTTGCTGAGCACTGTCGGCTTACTGTGCTCCGTTCTCCTTTCTTTCAATAGCTCGCACTTTCCAGTGACAAGATCGCCACATTGCAGATGCCGCTTTTAAACCTTCATCTGGATGTGAAGGAAAACGGTGTCATGAAACCATACTCTGTTGAAATGAGTAAAGAGGAGTTACAGAATCTAATCAGCTCCTTGGAGGCAGCTAATAAGGTATGTGCTTAAACTGGATCATATAGTTTACATGCGGAAGCACCAGTCCACCCTTGAGTAGGGAAAGTTCAGCTCTGGCTAGGTTTTAATGTGTCTCACTTCACTGATCCTTTATAACAAGCACAGAAAATACTTGGTTGAGATGTTCTAACATATAAATGTTGAAGTAGTTATAACTTACGGCATTCAGTTACCAAGTTCTGGCTTTAATTGTCTATTCTAAACCAAAGCAGTACTATTATAACTGTCGAGTTTATTTTCCTTTGGTATTCCTTAAGCTTAAAAATAAAAATTTTACCTTGAGACCATGAAATTAGTTGATTCTGAAGTTTCTCTAATTAAAAAAATTCCAAAAGAAGAAACGTCTTACTTGGATGCACAAGTGTTACTTGGATGAACAAATGTTAGACAATTGCTGTTCTGCTGTTCTGAGTGCAGGAGGTAAAATATAACTGTAATCCTGACAAAATCAGGCTTTTTCGTGATAGAATCAACGAATGCTCCAAATTGTTCTACCTGCAGACTTGCGTCTGAGCACCAGCAGCTAGTCCCACCATATAGTATAGTGTTTAAGCAGCAGAAGTTTTCAGTGAGGAAGAGAAACCTTGACGTTCACTGGCAGTATTTAGTTGTCACTGGGCAGCATTTCTCATAGGTCTACCTCAGAGATTGGCTCTCAGTTGCTCTCATTTCCCTGGCCAAAATTTCTCTTATAAATTCTTTTGCCTTTTTTTTTTCTTCTTCTCTTTTTATTTAGTTACATACTTATTGTTTTTCATTATGGTGCCAGGGATTAAGCCTATATTAACATTTTTAACCTAATACTCATCTCAGCGTGAGTGGGTACACCTCAGAATTCAAGTGCTACCTCAACCATCTTCATGTGTACAGCCTTCTTACTGCCTCCCAACAGAACATGACACCACTTACACATTTATAAATGATGCTATGGATTGCCTGTGTCCCCGACATTCACGTTCAGAAACTTATGTAGTACTACAGGAAAGAACGCAAGTTCCGGGAGGTGCATCTGTATGATGCAGGAGTTCCTCTTATCCACTCCTGTGTATATTCTCACGGGATGCGTCCTCGTATGTTATCCTCACATGCAGCAGAAAACCCTCAACGATATACAGCCACATCACCCCAGACTTCTCAGCCTCCCCAACCACCAAACCAGTGGACGCGTGTTGCTTATAAGTTACTTGACGGTGACATTTTGTTACATATAGAAAATGGACAAAGGCAGTATTATCAGAACGCTTTCAGTCACTGCTATGCTACCTACCATTGGAATAAAATGTCCAAGTTTCTGTTCATTATGTTCAGTTCAGTCACCTAGCCTCTTGCCACCTCAGGCTTCTTATATCTCTTAAAAAAGGGGTGGGAGCAGAAATTATCCTTATGTCGTTTGTGGTTAAATGAAAACCATTTCCGTAGTGTGATTTGCCCAACAGTCAGCACAGACTTTTTATTACAGAAATCTTTTATAAATTCCGCAATTGGAGAGTGCTCAATATGGCCGTTGTATTAATAAAAAACCATCAGTAGGACAGAAGAAGTGCAGCTGTAACCTAGTGCTTTTGGCTCGACAATGCTGAAAGAGTATGGAGCCAGAGAGGAACAGCCCCTAACTGATTATTCATGAGGACAGTAGATTGTTTTACTATTAAAAACATAAATCAGAAAAGCACAGGGGCTCTCTGATGCCTGTTAAACCTCCTGCTCTTTGAAGCCCAGATAAACATCACCTTCTTCCTGGTCTATGAAGTAGCACACACTTCAGTTTTATCTTCATGATTAACTCTCATGTCCAGTAACCACGCTTGTAGCGGAAGCCTGGTGGCCCTCAGAGAAGTGGGTGTGGTTGAACCTGGTCTGAGGGCAGCGTGACCAAGCATAGATCTTGGCAGGCAGGAGCCGTAAGCCACTGACCTCCTTTGCCTGTTTCTCTTCTTACCCTGCCTCAGGGATCATGGGCAGATAGCAGGGTTGTTCTGGTCTACCTGACATTGCTTTTCCTTGTTTGTGTTTTAAGGTGGTCCTGCAGTTAAAATAACTGGAAATGGTGACCACCAACACCAGCAGATTTCAAGGCTGCTTCGTGGCAGAGTGAATGCTGTATTCAGAGGTAGATGCTACAGCAGCCTGGCCCAGCAGCATGCAGAGATTATAAAGATGAAAATCTGCCCGCAACCCTAAAGAACAGGAAATTGTAAAGCTGATGGGAAATGCATAAAATGAAAGATGAGAAAGCTGAAGTTGCAGTTTGAGTTTTCACAATGATTGTTTTGTCTCGTTTATTAAATATTTGGGAAATCTTTGGTAGATAACGTTTTTATATTGAAAGATAAAAATAAATTCTGAAGTAATAGAAACACACAAGCACAGACCTACTAGACTGTTGCTTAAATGTGAATAGCAAGACATGTTTTATGAGTATATAATTTGCAATATTTGAAAATAATATTTAAAGCATATGGAAGTGGCATATGTAACTCAGGAGGTTCCATGTTTCAAAGGAAAGAGTTTTAAGTGGTAAAGTTTTAGGGAAAATTCTGTTATCAGACACAAACAGACATTTAAAATTTGTGTGAATAATTTGAATAATTTATAAAATTCATAAGAATTTTATAAGTTAAAACATAAACATAAAAAAAAACGAAAATAACGTTGTTATTCTGTACATCGTCACTTCCTTGGGAGACTGTGCTCTAAGAAAATGTGGTCTAAGAAATGTCAGTGATGGTGTGTTGTACATATTGTTCCTCATATATAAGTTTGTTTTTTGTATGTAACAAATTAGTTGTAATACAAACCTCTTTTTACCTCAACTAACTTTAAAAATAAGCATTCTGAGCAAATAAAAGTATCTTTACATGTCGCTTGATTTCAGTGACTTCCCGCATAGCTCAGTGGTTGGTTGGTAATTAACTGGTCCCTGCTGTTTGCAGTTCTGTGGCTTGATAAGGCACCAGTTGGAACATCCCGAGCAATGATTACTGTTCTCGTCATACAGCTGCGGGCAGGCTCAGACAAGGCTGTGTTATCGAGTGCTGCTCTACGGGCTGTGGCAGAGTGTTGATTAGAAAAGGAGCTTGGTGGAGACCTATGACAGGGTAGGCTCCTGGGAAGATATGGGGGTCGTTATAACTGGGACTCTTAGTAGCCGTAGCAGGGGTCATAAAGACTGAAGAGGACACCCTCTAACTAGGCAGGAGTCGTAGTGGAGGGAGGGGAACACTAACCCAGCCACAGAAATTTCGACCCAAAATTTATTCTGCCAACGAGGTGTTCAGGGATAAAGACAGAGCAGAGATTGAGGGAAGGTCCAACCAAGCCTGGCCCAACCTGAGACCCACCCCATGGGAGAGAGCCAACCCTGACACTGTTAATGATACTGTGCTATGCTTGCCTAGCATAGCTGTCCTCTGAGAGGCTCCACCAGCAGCAGATGGAACAGATGCTGAGACTCACAAACATTTGGTGGAGCTCAGAGTCTTGTGGAAGAATAGAGGGACCCAGAGAGGACAGGAACTCCACAAGACCAACAGCCAACTAACCAGGGCCCAGGAACTCAGGGGCCTTGTCTCCACCTGCCGACTGACTCACCTACCGAAGTGCATGGATTGGACCTAGGCCCCCTACACAGATTTAGCGATGGGCATTTTGGTCCTCATGTGGGTGCCCTAGTGAGGGGAGCAGGTCCTGTCTCTGATATGGACTCCATTGTTTGCTTTTTTATGCTCAGTGTGGTTGCTAGTTTCCTAGTAGGCAAGGTCCTTAAGTCCGAATGGAGTGTTGACTGCTTGCAGAGCAGTACATCAGGAGGCCTGGTCCAGTGGTCTCTGTATAGCATCCTTCCTTTGAGTGCAGCCCCTTAACAAGGCAATACCTTATTTATCACCATCCCCGACATGGTTCCACCAGCCTGTTTCACAGTTTCTTTGAAGTTTGATTGGCACACTGTGTGATGCCCTTAGTTAAAGTGTTGGTTCAATACATTTTGGCTGACAGATACTCATGAAAGAATCACCATGGTCAAGGTAGTGCATGCAGTCCCACCTGCAATCTTCCTCTTGTCATCAGTGGTCAGTGTCCCAGGTCCTTCACCCCAGGTCAACACAGATTCGTGAAAATGGGATAATACAGTATTTATTCTTTCGCTCCTTACTGTTGGCAGTGGCATGCAGGGCAGTGTGCGTTAACACCGAGCTCGCTCTGTCTCTAGAACAAACAAGCCAAATTAAGTCTGGCTTTTTCCAGTATCTCTTGTTTATTTTTGGACAATACCTTATACCGTTGCCTGAGCTGGCCTGGAACTCAACTATATAGACCAGGCTGGGTCTTGAACTCATGACAGTCATCTAGCTTCAGCTCTCCAAGTATTAGGGTTACTTGTATGAGCCAGTATGCCTGATGTTAGCATTAACTTGAGTTTTATTCCTGTCACACATATCAGTGCTCTGTTCCTTTTTATTGTTGAGAAGCATCGTGTTGTATAACTGTCACAATTTGCTTATCTGTTGATAGGATTTTTTTGTGTGTGTGGTTTCAACATTTGCCTGTTACAGTACAGAGAATGCTCTGAATATTTGCATGCGTATCTTCTTATGATCTTATGGACGTATGGTGTCTTGGAGTGACGTAGTTAGTTCATGTGATTGGCTTATACTTATCTTTTTAAGATATCATGGGTTTTCAGAATGATTTTTACCCGTTTTCCATTTCCACCAGTTTGGTAACATTCTGATTCACCTTACCAATACTTGTGGCTGGTCTTCCTGATTTCTGCTATTTTGGTGTGTATGTAGTAGGATCTCATTGTGCTTCTAACAGTCACTTAAGGACCAGCCACACCCATCATCTCTTAATATCTTTCTGCCATCTGCACACCCCACTGGATGCTGTTCAGATCTATTGCCCATTTAAAAATATTTTTTTGCCCTTCCATTTTTTAAAATTTAATCACTTTACAGCCTGATACCAGGCCCCTCCCCACTCACCACCCAGTCCTGCCATTCCTTCTTTCTCCTCCCATTCCTTCTTCTACTTCTCAAAGAAGGGAGGCACCCAAGGGGTACCAACCCACCCTGGCACTTCAAGCGGGACTAAGCTAAGCACATCTACTCCCACTGAAGCCAGATAAAGCAGCCTAGCTAGGGGAAAGGGATCCAGAGGCAGGCAGCAGAGTCAGAGACAGCCCCTACTACCATTATTAGGAGACCCACATGATGGCCATTCTGCAGTCTGCTACCTAGCTGGGGGGTGGGGGGGTCTAGGTCTGGCTCTTGCATACTCTTTGGTTGTTGGTTCAGCCTCTGTGAGCAGCCCCCATGGGCCCAGGTTAGTTTCCTGTGGTGTCCTTGACCCCTCTGAATCCCTTAATCCTTTCCTGACTCTTCCACAAAACTCCTTGAGCTCAGCCTATTGCTTGGCTGTGGATCTCTGCATCTGTTTCCATCAGCTATATGAAGCTTCTCAGGAGACAGTTATGTTAGCTAGGCTCCTGTCTGCAAGCATAGCAGAGTATCATTAATAGTGTCAGGGATTGGCTTTCTCCCATGAGGTGGGTCTCACGTTGGGCCAGTCATTGGTTTGCCATTCCTTCAATCTCTGCTCCATCTTTATCCCTACATTTCTTGTAGGCAGGCCAAAGTTTGGGTGGAAGGTTTTATGGGTCGGTTGGTGTCTCCCCATTTTTAAGGTGGATTCCTGGTTTTGTTTCTTATGTTTTGCTCTTGACAGTCCTTTCCAAAATGCAAGGCCTTCAGATAGTTTCCTCCACACTGTATGATCTTTTGCTTTTTCTTGTAACTAGATGGTATTGATTTCAGAGATCAGCTTTAGATTTACAGAAGGATTCAGAGGATGGCAGAGAATTTCCATATTGTCACCAATTTTTCCTCTTAACTGATTACATTGGTATAAAGTCAATGAATTGTTACTGTTAGCTAATACTTATGGGCTATTTGGATTTTCTAAGGTTTTATCTGTCCTCATTTATCCTGCTAGTTCATCTGCAATAATGTGATATGTCTTTTTATGTCCTCTTTGTTGTTCCCCAGACTTCCTTTGTTTCTGACGACCTTGATTCTGTGGTGAAATGTGTGTGACCCTTATGGGGACTTATCAGTGTTTTTCTCATAGGTAGACTGGATTTACCAGTTTTGGGAGAGAAGATTAATGCTGAAGTGTCATTTTTGTCACATGATGTATGAGCTGATGTTGACTGTAACCACGTGGGGAAGATAATGCCTGTTAGATTTCCTCACTGTGAAATGGCTGTCCATTTTCCTCATTCTAGGCTCTTTGGGTGGACATGACTGTGTTCAGCCTGGACTGTAGCGCTAGTCCTCATTACCCAGTTTAAGTGTCTGTAGAAATTGTGTGGAATTTACTTTTTTTTTCCATGAATTATTTTGCCATTTATACCATAGTCTTGTGGGTATCTCGTTTGTGCTTTGGAATGTAATCCCATTTTTTTCATTACTGACTTTATTTTTGCTTTGCCCATCGGAGGCTCTTGTGGTTGGTTACTGTGTCCCCTTGACACGTTTCTGTCAGTGGTGTGGAATTTCTTTTTTGATGGGGGAAGACTTTTTCTTTCTTGCTTTTTTTGCTTTGAAAGGCATCATTCTACTTTCTGGTAGCATGAGGTATTCTAGGCTCCTCTTTGTATAATATATATATATATATATATATATATATATATATATATATACACACACATACATATTTATATATATTTATTATGAGAGGTGTATATTTTATTTTCTGTGTCTGTTTTACATGCCTGTATATCTTGGCATAATGAGCATACCAGGTACCTGGAGAAGGCAGAAGATGTCAGATCCGCTGGAACTAGAGCTACAGACAATTGTGAGCTGCCATCTGGGTGCTGGGAATTGAAGCTAGGTTCTCTGGAAGAGGAACCTGTGTTCTTAACCACTGAACCATCTCTCCAGCTCCTGTGTACTATTTTTTTGACCAATCTTAGAATCAGCTGATTCTCCAAGAAGTCCAGGATCCTTTTATTGAGGACAGACACTAGAAACCAAGTGAGGTATGTTGTATTCAGTGCTACTGGCACATGCATCTTTTAGGCTTTCACAGTACAAACAGAACAAAGAAAACATCCCATGTACATACACACACCTATAAATATTTCTTTATATAATCTTGTGTTTACATTAAGCTAAACGACTTCATACTGATGGCCAACTCTAATCTATTTTATAGCTCAATTTGGCTTCTTACTCTGATCTATAAATTTCTACTCCACAAGAGCCCTGTCCCCTACCAAGTACCATCCAGTTATTTAACTGTGTGATTCCATTGCACATATGTAGAATAGTAGAATTATTCCTCTGAAGGCCTACGGCTACTTCTGTGCATACTATTGCCTTTAGTTTTGCAGACTTATTTCCAAAGTTATGTATGTCAGCAGCTTTCCATCCTCTTCCACCCGCTGCAGTGGAGTTGCTGTAGGCCCATGTAGTCCAGGTGGGTGTTATTATTATTGTTATTATTATTATTATTATCATCATTGCCAGCCTTACTACCATAATGTTTTCTGGGACCCTTCTACTTGCTAAGTGAGTTTTCAAACTTGCATACATTTGTACAGAAGAGTAGCATCAGTTTTGGCTAGTGGATCAGCATGGATCCACCATATTCTTCAACTCCATGAAAAGCCTCCCTTTACCCCCTCATCCCTCTACAAGCCTAAAAACTTCTGACTGCCACTGAGTTTTCTAAATCCCTGACTTGTTTCCTTTTTCATAGTGTCATATGGAATCATGTAGCATACTGTCTTGTCAGAGTAGCTACCTTCACATAGCGACAGGTGTCTAAGTTTCCACCTCACCTGTTCATGGTATG